TAGCAAATTTCAGCAGAGAAATATAATTTTTTGAAAAATGAACAAACTAGAACTGAATCACATACAACGGAAAAATACAATAGTGCTTTCCTGGACAGACTTCACAGTAGATTGTAGGCGACAGAAGGAAGGGTTTAGTCAACTTGAAGAGAGGCCAGGAGAAATCATTCATTTGCAGAACTGAAAGAAGAGTTTACAAAATAATGACATACAAGTGGGGCAAGAGCAAAGGTCTAATACAGGTATATTTGAAATTGCTAAAGAATGAGAGATAGAAAATGGTACAAAAAGCATTTTTGAAGAAATTATGCCTAAAAGCTTTCCAAATTTAATGAAAGGCATACATTCATGTATTTAAGCTCAGTGAATCACCAAATAAGATAAAAGCAAAGTGTCACATAATTTAGCAATAAACAACAATAAAACTATGGTTATATTTATAACCTTTTAGTGCATTAACTTTTTTGTCACTTTCTGTTCATCACCACCTACCTTCTTGCTTTCATCTCTTTTGAGATTTAGGCGTATAAACAAAAACACTTTAAGATCTACTGCTTGTTAACTCACGGTGCAAGAATGTAAGCAATATTGTTGGTCTCAAGATAATGCTTTTGAAATGCCAAAAAAAGTTTGAAAGTGATGTGATGAAAAGGGATGGTATTTCTTATATGCTAAGTACATAAAATACTCTCTACTCCCTTTTTCCTGTTTATGATAACCAAATCCTTTACTGAGTAATTTATTAATCTAATAATGAAACTTATTTATTCACTTGCTGAGGGACAGCCATTGAAGACATTCCAACAAAGAAGGAAATCTGCCCTTCTGATCTCATTATAAAGATATATTGGTCACTTTTGGGTTCTTTACTTTTAAAATAACTTATTTATTTATTGTTTTTTTCTGGTACCGGGAATCAAACTCATGACCTTGCACTTGCCAGGCAGGCGCTGTGCCACTGAGGTAAATCCCCAGCCCCTCTCATTTTTATTTTTTAATACAAAAGTAATACACAGGATATTTAAAAGATATGATTAGAAAGTAGGAAAATTCACTCTTCAGTAGTTATTCTTTGAGGCTGTATTTTGTGACAGAGACTACCTTTAGTATGGGGAGCATAACATTAAAAACATCCTTGCTCTGATTCGGATAGGAATCCTTTCCACAAAAGGAAAAAATAGATAAATAACATAATATAATGCTCAAGGTAAGATTTTCAAGAAAATTAAAATCAGTTCTTCTGGAAAAATTAGAATAATAGAGTATTTAAAGTATTAAAAGTAGGCACTTTACACACAGAAAGTTTATAAAAAATTTTTTTGAAAAAATTTTAGCTTATTCTAGATAGTTTAGAAATTATTTTTGAGTAGTGAATGTCTAAAAGGTAACAATTTTGCATTCAGAATTCTGATTTATAGTAAAACATACATTATTTTTTAATGCATAAAATCCTACAGTATATTTTATGTAGGTTCAATCTAAGTTTTGTGGCTGAGTTTCTCCCTGAGGCCAAATTTTGACCAGTTTTTAAAAACCCCGAATTGCCTCAGTTTTGCGGGTTAGAAGGTATGAATACACCTCTCTGTCATTTGGAGAAGCACAAGATATTATTATTAACAGAGAAGAGCTGCAATGAAAATTGATCTTACATCATCCATCATCTCCCCTAAGTCTAATGAGCTACTGCTATTATCACCTGGTGAAATATTGTTCTATGAAACCTTGCTTTGTCATGAAATCCCTGTAGATTTTAGAGGAGCAATATGACCTCAGGCAATATTAACTACTGTTCCATCTCTCCATTTGTCTCTAAGTAATCATGTATTTTAATGATCTTCTATTTCCTGCATGTTGTATAGAAGTCCTCTTGGAGTCTAACTTAAAGTAGTTGAAAATAGTATTTTATATTTTTAGTTGAGTGTGACCTTGTCTTCTGAACAAATCTGTCTCTACATCCTGTGTTAAACAGAGCATTTATGAGCAGCACGATTCCTATCATATTATAGTTATGCAATGAAACTGTGCTTTAAAGTATACTTTAAGTACTAATTTTCCCTCTTTAAACTCACTTTTTAGATGACTCTTATCCTGCTTTATCAGTGGCTGAAGATGGTAAAAGTGTTATGGGTGTAGAACACACTGGGCAAGAAGGTAAACACTTTTTGCACAGGAAGGAGCATCAAGATAAACTCTGATCAGAAACGGGTACATCGCAGAAAAACGCCATGGCATGGGTGGAACCGCTTTGCAGGGAGTGCTCGGAATGTCCTTGCCCGCCATCTGGAAGGAGGAGGAGGGTTCTTCTACTGACATCTCTTTGCGGGTGCTCACAGTCATTGTCCCCAATTCCAGTGTCTGGACTGCCCTTGGTGCCAGCCTTTCCGAGGTTTGATAACAGCTACCTTTGTTGCTTGGGCCACTTCCCAACCTGGGTCGATTTCTCCTTTTGAAAATGGAATAAACTGGACTAGGTAAGAGCTAGAGTGGCTTCAAACTTATGTATGAGGGTCCTGTCCCCTGCTTACTCTCATCTCCACCACTGCATCGTGTTTTATGGCCCTGAACACTGGACTGAGGGTCAGGTAAATACCTTTAGAGACTTTTGGGAGAGAGAGGCATGTTCTCAGGGACCTCCACCTGTCTGCAGGAAGAAACTGGCTCAAGACTACGAGTATTTTCTGAACTGTTATTTTTGAAGCATTATTCTCCAAAGTATTATAGATATGTACAAAGTGATAAGTATGTACATTTTTCAATGATTAAAAATACATGTTCCCCCTGTGGACTGTTGGTGGAAATGTAAAATTGGTCAGCCAGTGTGGAAAACAGTATGGAGTTTCCTCAAAAAATAAAAAATGGGCCCTTTTGATCCAATAATCCCACTTCTGGACATTTATTAAAAAGAACTGAAATCAGGATGTTGAAGTGACATCTACACTCCCACGTTCATTGCAGCATTATTCACAATAGTCAAGATGAGGAAACAGCGTAAATGTCCATTGATAGATGTATAGATAAAGCAAACGTGTTGTATACATTCAATGGGACTTTTTTTAGCCTTAAAAAGAAGGAAATCCTGCCATATGCAACAACATGAATGAACCTTGATGACATTATGTGAAGTGACATAAGCCAGTTATAGAGGGACAAATACTGCATGCTTGCTTACATGACTTGTCTGAACTCACAGAAGCAGAGAGTAAAATGGGGATCATCAGGAATTGGGAGGACATGTCACTTGCTCATAGATGGGGCTTTGGAATGAAGACTGGATCACGTGGATGATATAGCTGACTTGCTGTTAGGAGGTGGTCTGCTCAGAAGAGGTGGGTCACGGGGCTGTGGGCCAGAAGGGTGTGTTTCCTTTCCCAGCTGTTCCCTTCACACTTAGCTTCCTGTCTGCCATGAGCAGCTTTCCTCTACCCAGTTCTTCCATGCTGCCAGCCATACAAGGACTGAAACTTTTGAAACATGAGCCAAAATGAACCTCTTAAGTTGTAGGTGTTGGGTATTTTGTCCCAACCATGACAACATTATTATTCTAACTTTCCACAGTTGTTACTTCAGAGGTTGAGAAGCTTCTCTGGGATGGGTGCTGGAAGTGCAAAGAGTAAGGCCTCTTCTCTGCCTCAGCTCACAGACTACAGGGGAGCATGACATGGACACAGATCATTTTAGAATGGGATGTCACCTTAGTGGGGAAGGCCCAGCCAGTCCTGTTTTTGTACATAAGGTTTTATTGTGACATCACTGTATTTGTTCATCTATATGACCATGGTTGCTTTTGTGCTATAATAGTAGAGTTTTGTAGTTGTGACACTTACTATTGAACTTTTTTTTTTGAGACAAGATCTCATTATGTAATTTAGGCTGGACTTGAACTCACTACATAGCCCAAACTGGCCTTAAACTCACAGTGGTCATTCTGCTTCAGCTTCCCAAATACTGGGATTACAGGTATGTGCCACCATGCTTGGTATATTATTGAACTTTATTATTGAGCTTTTAGAAAGAGTTTGCCAAACTCTGGGGTGGAGGAACAATGCTCAGGGTAGAGGAGCATTCAGACATGGGCATTCAGTCCCACCTGAAGGTTGTCTGCCTAAGATCAGACCTGGGATTAAGAAAGACAAAATGAGTGAGGTGTGGTGGCCCATGCTTGTAACCCCACTGCATGGAAGGCTGAGGCAGGAGATTGCAAGTTGAGGCTTGGCTGGGCATCTTAGGGAGACCCTCTCTCCAAATATATGTGGCTCAGGATATAGCTCAGTGGTGGAGCACCCCTGGGTTCAATCCCCAGTACCACAAAAAAACTCAAATAAACAAAATAAAACCAAATTGGGCTTCCTAGTCAAAGCAAAGCCAAGAATATATACAACAGAATAATCTATGGGGAGAACTATAAAGAGTTTATAATTACTATGCTATAATGTTCAGAGTAGGGTAGATGAGTCTGTGAGTCTAGCATTGGGTGATTTGCTGGAGGTTATGTATTTACATAGAGGAAGACTAGAATCCAGGCTTTCTGACTTGCAGTCCTATATGTCTATGACGACAGCAAAGGCAGCAAGTGTGCACCTTACATGTTGTTAGCCTGCAACCATTGTCCACAACAGACAGTGCCGATTGATCAGAGAACTCTGCTGAGGGGCCCACATGCAGCCTTATCTGCACTCGAAGAGGGTAACATTCCTTAAATAGAGCCAGCCTATCTTAGTCATTTTTCTTATTTCTGGAACAAAATACTTGACACCCACAATTTGAAAGAGGAGAGGTTTATTTTGGCTCCCACTCTGTGGGGGTTTCAGTCTGTAGTTGGCTGGCTCCGAGGCAGGGGGCGTGGCACAGGGGCATGGCTGTGGAATGCTGCTGACGGTATGACAGATAGGAATGAGAGTGAGAAGAGAGTCAGGAGGGGAGATACAGCCTTCCAGGCCGTGCCCACAGTGACCCACCAGGCCCCACTTCCTAGCAGCAAGTCAGCTGTAAGGCCCTGTAATCTAATCACCTTCCAGTGGTCCCATCTCCGATCACATGAGGCTTTAGGGAGACATCTAGGTATAAACCATAACATAGCCTATTTGCTATTCCAAACCTATATTGTTCCAGCCATAGGGAGAAGGTCTTAGATTTATTTTTCTCTGAATGCATTAGAAAAGGCCTTCTGAACCGAAAGCTTCCAGTCAAGGAGTACCATTTCAGCACATCCTAAATTTCTGTGGATCCTTCCCATGCCATGTCCTGTGTCAAGGGGTTTACATGCTTCATCTTTCTTTACCTCACAAGGGAGGTAGAATAAAGAGATCATTTACCCAAAGGTCTGGAACTAAACATTTTAATCATGCAAAAACTATTTTAAAAGATTACTCATTAAACATTACAATAACAGAAAAACAAGTTGGTGCTTCTGGCCAGGTTATAGGTGATGGGCAGACATGCTGGAGAGGCTCAGACACTTCAACATGGATGGAGTCAGGTGAGTTGTTATGATGACTGCAGTGGCCTCATGACCTGTAGCTCGTAAACAGGAAGCAGAGTGATTCTTGTTCATTTATATTTTGGCTTATAACACATGTTTTATACTTTGTAACTTCAATTTTGCAAGTTGACATTAGATATCTCTTCCTAAATCCATGTATGAGTTATCAACATTTATATGGAGAGAGGAGAAAGAGGGAGAGGGTTGGGGGGAGGGGAAGGGACCAGAAGGGAGGGTAAGGGTGGAGAGAAGAAGGGAAGAGAGGAAGGGAGGGAGGGGAGGGAAGGGGAGATCCAAAAGATGCCAGTGTTGGATTGAATGGTAGCAGAAAAAGTTCTTTTGAAGAGAAGATATGTGAATATTAGAAACACCATTCATCTAGGATAGGTGCAATTTTCTCCCTGTTGGTATTTCCCATATTTTGACAAAAAGGAAACTGAAGTTTGAAGAGTTCCTGGTTTACCCATTATACCCGGTGGTAAACCCAGAGCTTTTACGTTGGTGCCCAAGCCTCCACAGTCCAAGCTCTTAACTACCATTACATCCATCTTTGATCTTTAGGAAGAAGGGCAGAAATTTCCAGTTCAGATCTAAAACCTAAAATGGTTGAGAGAAGCAGTTTTGAGTTAGTTGAGAGCTATAAAAGTAACCACCAATCTGTGCCTTGATATTATTTTCTTTAAATCTTGCTCTGAGTTGTTTTCTTTACCACCTTTCTAGAGAAAACACAGGTGGTTGCTTCATGTATGCTGACCCTCTCTCCTCTGTGATTCATAACTGGTGGTAGTTTGACAGCTGCTCCTATGATACTGTGCCTGTTATCTGTCATCTGGTGTCAGTTAACTGAATTATTTAATTTCTAATATATTTGCTCTGTGAAATCTCTTTCAAAGGCCTGGGGCTGAGGAAGGGCAGGTAGTCCTGGAATGGCTGAAGCTGAGTTAAGACTGATCAAGTTAGCCACAGATGGGAATGAAATAGTTTGAGTTTCAGGTCTTAGAAGGTAGAAAATTGAGTACAAATGCCTTGCCCAAAGGGAGGAAGACTCCAGCAGGGAGATGTTGTCAAAAGCAGAGTGACAGTCTGAGTTGAAACAGAGCAAGAGAAGTTGAGAGTAAAAGGAAGGGATGCCTGCAGGTGCCTGGGCACAGGTGGGTCAGTTTACGGTACAGCATCTTAAACGACTGTTTCAAGAATCAACTTTATTTCAGTGAAGCAGAATTTTAAAAATAGCTTGGACACAGTTCCATTCACCTGTTATTCACGTGTGCAGGGTAGACATCAGCTGATGATCTTCTCTGTGCTCAGCGCCATTCCAGGCTCCGGTAAAATGAACATGAGCCACACCTCATTTCTGCCTTGAAGTGTCTCCCAGTCCTGGTTTAGGAGAAGGAGACATGAGTTTCTTTTCTTCTCTTTCCTTCTTTTCTAAAAATCTATTTTCCTCTGGAAGTGTCCTGATTTTCATAAATGACCATGCTTGACATGCTATACCATAGCAATAATAATTTATAATTAGTGGAAAACCAAAGGAATGACTGGAAGTTACCTTTAGGTATGGGAACAGCTGGGGCTCTCAGGGTAGCCCTGGGAAACACTGTACTGTGTAAGGAAGAATCTGAAGTTCCGGGTTTTGCTGGGGTGCAGCTGCTTCTCTTTCAAATAGCAACTTTAAATTCTGGCATCATGGCCTGTACTTCCATGAATGTATGTATGACCAGGTATCTCAATGACCAGCTACTCCAGGAGACTTGTGATTAGAAGCTGTCTGATTCTGATAAATGGGCTTTATTTTTCTTAAAGTTGTCTTTAAAAACAACTTTTTAGACATGTAACCTCCCTTCATAGCTTTTCCTTGGCTAGAAGGAAAAGAGAATCTGCCAACCTGCCTTTTTTCACTCTAAGTCACTTTGGTTTTAGGCACTTTGAATAACTTGTTATTGTGTCGTGAGGAAATTTTGGTCAGGAGCCATCTGTATTCTTTCAGTTCTGGCTGCAGTAGCAGCTAAGCTGGTAGCTTTCATCAAGCCAGCCATTCATTCACTCTCCAAACATTTATCATGTGCTGTGCTGAGCCAGGAGCTGATTAGGTTCCTGGTATACAATATACACACGAAGTCAGTGTGCATCGGTCAGTGCTCTAATGAGGCCTACCATTTATTGCGAGCAGCGTGTCAGGCATTAAGCACAGCATACAATAGGTGCTAACAAGTAAAGGACTGGGCTATTGTGACTATGCAGTAGGAGGTGGATCTAATTCACACTGGGAGATGGGAAAGTCTTTTTTAAAGATAATGAGCAAGGCATGATGGCACACACTTGTAATCCCAGGACTCTGGAGGGCTGATGTAGGTGTATCACAAATTGGAGCCCAGCCTGGGCAATTCAGTGACTTAGTGAGATCCTGTCTCAAAATTAAAGAAAGGGCTGGGGGTTTAGCTCAGTGTAAAGTTCAGGCACCAGTACTGGTGGTAGGGGTGGGGAGAGAGGTGCTGAGATTTGAAGGAGTGGACACTAACTAGGTCAGGAGTCTGGGAGAAGAGTCTCCAGGTAGAGGGAGCAGGATATGTGAAGATCCTGACCTGGAAAGGAGGAGATGCTGCCTATGAGAAGGCAGCATGGTTCTAGGGTAGTTAGGACAGGGAAGAGTGGTATGGTGAGGTAGCTGAGAGGTAGACGTGGAGGACCATATAACACCTGTTTAGAAATGTGTTTTGTTCTGGGTATAATGGAAAGTCATGTGCAGGTTGTAAACAGAGAAATAGCATGGTTTACTTACATTGAAAATCTCTAAAGCCAGGCATGGGGGTGCACGCATGTAATCCCAGCACTTGGGAGGCTGAGGCAGGAGGACTGCTGTGAGTTCGAGGCCACTACATAATGAGTGCAAGGCCAGCCTGAACTACAAAGCAAGACCCTATCTCAAAAAAAAGTCTCACAATTCTGCATGTAGAATGGGTCAGATGCAGAACACAGATCATCACGTGTATATTTCATATTTGCTTGAGTACAGAGGCTGCACACATCCTGGGCACCATATAAATCACACCCTCTTCCTTCCTACCTCTAGCAAATGTTCTGCTTGGGAGGCAGACTGTGACTTACAGACCTCCAAACTAAGTACGGAGGATCTGTGACTGCAAGAGAGGGAGGCTTAGAGAGAGAAACAATAAATCAAGTCTTTTCTTTTGAGACAGGGCCTCGCTATGCAGTTCAGGCTGGCCTTGAACTCATTTTGTAGCTCAGGCTCATCTCGAACTCGCAAAGATCCTCCTGCCTCAGCCTCCCCAGTGCTATAATTACAGGTATGAACCACCATGCCTGGCTTAAATCAAGTTTTTAAGATCTCAACAGTTTAAAGAATGAGACTCCAGCCTTAAGTTGATTCTCAGTGACAGGAACATACTTTGGCTATCAGTATCTCAGGAAACATGTTCTTAGGGCCACTGATTTAGAAACATCTCCATTTTCAAAGTAATGTTTAGTCAGTGCCTTCCTTGTTCTAACTCTCTTTCCTGCTATTCCCCTTCATAGACCTTGTATTCTTTGGGTATCTGATTTATGCTTGCATTATTTTTTTCAAGACAAATAAAAACATCTTGGAAAATCTGGCCTTTTTAGTGTCACTTGTCATTCATTTCCTTTCCCAATTTATTTCATGGCTGAGGCCTTCCCTGAGGTAGTATTGTCTTTTTAACTTGTTAGAGTGAGCGCACTTTCACCTCACAGCACTCCGTTGGTGGGGCCTTGAAGAAGGGGCAGGGAGGGAAGGGGTCTGCACAGGCATGTGGGGTTGAGGAGGGGATCAGCACAGGAGAGCCCAGGGTTTAATGACTGTAGGGTAGGTGGAAGGACGAGGGACAAATACCTTCCAAATTCATACTGTAAACACGGCAGTAGTGAAATTGTGAGTTATTAAGTGTCCTTGATCTTTAGTGTGACAGGAAATAGAGTGATGCCCCAGAATCTGCTTGGTCTCATGATCAGAATACCTGGGTTTGACTTCTCACCACTTCCTGGTCCAGTAACTGAGCCACAAAGAAATTAACATAGGTAAATGCTCTCACAGACTACCAGAAAATATGCAGAAAGTCTCCTGGGTCCTTGGTGTGCGGGCTTTGTTTTCTTCACTTAGAGACCAGGAAATACAAGTTCAGAGAAGTTAAGTCTTTTACTAAAAGACACATAGCTGGGAAGCATCACTTTTCGATCGTCAAAGGCAGACTGGTCCACATCATTGGATGAGAATCACGAGCAAGCGTTTGGTGAGTTCTGAACGTTCCCTGAAGATATGTAGCAATACATAACCCATGAGTTCATTAGGGGGAATCTTTGAGGAGTCTCCAGAATGTGCCTTGGATCTGACCTGTCCCTCACATGTTGGTTCGGTGAACATAAAATGTCTGATCTGTGCAGGGACAGCTACTCCCACCCATTTCTCCCAGCTCAGTCATCTCACCATTCCGCATTCATTTCAGATCTGCTATCTGGACACCCTCTGCCTTACCCCACATGTAGTTCCCTCTGCCTGGAAATCCTGTGCACACATTACTTCCCTCTACTGAAGAGCTCAAGATTCTTTTTGTGGTTTCAGCACACGCATCACATCTTCATGACACACTCTCATACAAGATGTATGTCCCTAGGACAGGGACTCACAAAGAAATAACAGAGGAACAGAGGGATGCAGCTTTTAAAGGTACTTTGCGCTATTTGCCCTTGACAATGAGTAGAGGCATCAAAACACTGGGAGGCTGGATTTCTCAAAGAAATTCTTTCCACATTGACTACTATGACTGCCCATGCCCAATAACTTATCAGTCTTAGATATCAATAAAGTACTGTGTGCTAAGAAGAGCACCTGGAGGACCAGAATCATCCATATCAATATCTGATACATTTTCAAGCTTATAATTGACTCTCAATATACTCTGGTTAAACAGAAATTAGGAAAAGGTTAGGCTGAGAGCAAAAGAGCTAGGTAAAGCCATTCTAAACTTCAACAATTGTCTTCTCTTCCCTCTTCTTTTTCTTCTTCCTCCTCCCCTTCCCATCCTCTTCCTCTTCCTCCTGTTCCTCCTCCTCCTGCTTTGCTTCCTCTTCTTCCTCCTCTTCCTCCACTGCCACCTCCTCCTCCTCTTTGCCTTCATCTTCTTCAATGACTGTAACAGCTGCCATAACCTGAGTTGGTTACTATGTTGCAGCCCTGTATGAAGTCCTCTACATGTAGTATCTTTTTTTATTCTCATGATCCTGTGAGTCACTCATTCTTTCCACTAAGTGGATAAGGGTCGAGAATTATTAACTAAAGTATCCAAGGTTGCCTGACTTATAGGTGCCATTTCCAAGATATTAATTCACATCTGTGGTGGACTGACAACTGGTGGCCAACTTGTAACACCCTGCTGAACTGAATCAGCGTGGTGCTGGGTGTGGAGGGCCCATCTGAGGATTGTTGCCAATGACATAAAAAGGAGAAGTGGAGAGGAAGAAGTGGTGCTGTAAGTTCTCCTGGAGGAGTTTGTTGTGCTGACTTTCCTGATATAAACTTGACTGTTCTCATCATTGGAGGAGCTTCGGACCTTGTTATCACTGAGGATGGCTAAGGTACTTTTGGGGGGAACTCTGATCCTTACTTTGAGCATTGCTTCCTGGTTCCCATGCAGATCCCTCGGCCTGCTGGCACAGATCCTTCATCCTACTGCTGCAGACTTTCTAGCTTCTACCACTGGCCTTTGGGTCTTCCCAGCACAGATCCTTGATACAGATGAGAGATGTATGTCTCATACAATGTCTTGCATGAGACATTGTCATGGGCTCTAGGTCTTCAGCTGGACTTATACAGGACATTGCCATGGGATCCAGGCCCTCAGCTGGATTCTTTGGGTGTTTAGTGTGTGGAAAAATCTCCTGCATTCTTTTGTATTTGACTCTTTGGGTGACTACTATAAAATAGTCCTATAAATTTAGTGTCCTGTATTAAATTATTTCCCTTACAAACTCTGACTACAACAACATCTCTACATGTTTTTAACTGCTGTGCTTTCTTTCTAAATGACTCAATATTTCATGGCTATGTCATGCAAATAATTAGGTCAAATATTAGAAAATATTTCATCTGTTCTTGTTTCAGTCGGTTTGCAAAGGAAACCCACTAGGTTTGAGAAGAGTAAATAATGGGCTGAAGTTAAATATATACATATGCATAGATTGTATAAGATGTTTTGCTAACCCTGAAGGGTTAAAGAGAATTAAAAGTTGTCAGTATTACAATCCAAGGCAGGAAAATGTCAGCAAGTTATAAGGAATTTCCTTTCCCATAAGCCATTGGGACTCTGCCAAGGCTGTAGGGTAGATGTTGCATTAGTGGAAGACGAATTTGATCCAGTAAGACATCTTCTCAATCCTTGTGTAAGATTAGTCTGAGTAGCAGTCACTTGGTAACAATTTGGAATGGAGTTTGTTAGAAAAACATAGCTTTGTCTGGGTTGAGCCTAGAAATGGGTGACAGATGTTAATGATGAGCGACTGAACAGATGTTTGGGGGAGAATTACAAAAAGACTTTCTATCACACAGGATCTAAATCTTAATCTTCCTGGCTGATGCTGAAAGAGGAGCTTGTTGGTGAAACATGTTCTTACAAAACTGTTTGGCGGGTTGTGACAAAGACAAATGACCGGACACTATAAATTTGAAAATAAGGTAAATGGGAATCCTTGTTTGTGAGCAGTGTATATGTGTTTTCCTTGACCAAGGTCAATGCCTTATTAAAAAATGGGATGGCTGAACTGAACATTTTGCTTTGTCTTCTTTATTTGTTCAACAGCCCCCAACCCAGGAAGAGTGGGCAGTATTTGACACCATTCCTTAAAGCTCAATAAAATTATTAAAATACCACCACTTATATACTTCCCAAAACATATGCTGTATAATTACATTTGGAAAAAGAGACAGATTTGCTGTGAAAACTTAATCAATTGTTTTCACTGGGATCTCTGAGACTTATTTAAAGTTTTAAAGTTTATTTGAAATGATCCCTTTCCCAGTGTAATGAAAACAAAAGCAGATTTTAATTAACAGTTGTACATCTACTGGCATCAACTGGTCCCTACTTTACTCATTTCACAAAAAGATGGCTATTTAGTGATACCTCCTTTCATCTGTCTCAAACAAGTGATGGGATGATCAGAGGGATTTGTTAGTTCATCTTTGTATATAGGTCATAATTAATATAAGTATGAACTACTAGCATAATAGTTACACAATACCAAACATTTGGTTAAAAAAGAGTAAGTGCAGTAAAAAATACACATAATTTCAATATAGTGTTATGATAATAATAAATGCTACTGAGTTTATGATAGGTATCCACAATTACAATAACACTAAATGCCACTGTAATAACACGGTAAGATGAATATACTATTACCATTTAATGGACAGGAAATTAATGGCTTATTCAAGTTCACATGAGTAAATATCAGTGCCAGGATTGCATTCTGGTCTGAGATATTCAAATTTTCTCTCACTTTCCAATATGCTAGACCATCCTGTGTAAAGAAGACATTTAATTCTTTGATTAAATGCTTATATGTTATTGTACATCAAAATGGAATTTTAATTAAACCATGATTATCAAATTCAGGATCTGCAGTCTGACTTTAGTACTAGTCAAAGACAATTATTAACTCTGCAATGTTGAAAGGGGAAAGGCAATACTAGACTTTCTCTTGCTTTGTACTGAACAGAGTACTCTAGGGAGGAAAGTGATAAGGATCACGGTGTCTGCTTTGGGCAAGGAAGTATACTAGAAGGTGTGACAGTTAAAAGCTAAATGAAATAGAGCACAGAAAAGATTAGATATATAGGCAAATGGTCATGAGGCAAAAGGGCATATGGCAAGGGATATGAGAAGCTAGAGAGAAACAGATTTTTAATATTAGGCGAAGTTGTGCAGAAGAGATGGCATTTGTACTAGGAAGTCTGAAGTTAAGGATGTCCAGCAAGGGCCGTTAGTCTGACTTACCCTTCCTGTTCCCAGTCCATCTCCTCTTTCCTTCATTACCAAACATCTCAACACAGGTTCTGCCTTCATTTCCTTGTTATTTACCAATATTTAAACTCACGACCCTGGCTGAAGCCACTTGGATAAGATTGGTAATTGTCTAATATCTGTGCTCTCTGATCTTTTTCTTTATTTTAAAGAGAAAAAAGATAAACAATGAAACCAAGTTTCTTTGATCTTTAATAAGAGCGCTCTTTTATCCAGACACATAGACACTGAATAAAACCTACAGTTGCCAGCTTCCCCCCATAGGAAGTTAAGGACATACGGGAAGTTCTCCCTAGTGGAATATGATCTGAAATCATTATGCAACTTCTGGGCTACACATTTAAAAGGAAAGAGTATTCCTTTCCCTTACCTGGCTTCCTGTGGAAAGAATGTGGCTGGGACATTGCTGGGCCATCTTGGACCCTGTAGATGAAATTATCATCCTGGGGACGGAGAAACAGTAGCATAAAGGAGGGTGGTCCCTGACACTGCTAGGTTGCCATATTAGTTCTAGAATAGTTACTGTCACATTATCAAATAAGAGAGTGTCAGGAAAAACTGAAAGACCTTTGAATGAGCAACAAAAAGATTTTGGGTGTTCTGAGTAGCTTAGCTAGGTTATCTCTACTATTCATTGTCTTTGAACTACTTTATACCTCTAAGTTGTAGATCACTGAGAACAGTGAAAGTGGTCATTTATTTTCCACACACAGTCTATTCAGTCAGGGCTGACTGATTGCCCTTTTGATAAAAGCCAGTTTTACATCTATCAGTAAAGTTATTCCAGAAGTCCTCGTTGACCCATATGAGTGGGATACTTTGAATTTCCCTTTGAACTGATAGTAACTCCTTCTTGATTCTTTTCTTAGTGAGTTAAAATCTTTAACATATATTCATTTTATATTTGTATAGAAGTCCAGATTTATCACTAGTTTTTAAAATTACTGTTTAATAAGAAGAATAAACTTCTATCTTTGTTTAAAGACACAACTGTTCTAGTCTTCATTATGATGATTAAATATTTCTAATTAGGTAACCCCTGCCATCTTTCATTATTTTCTTGGGAGTCAGCATTACCTCTTAATCACCAAATTTAAACATCTTGTCTCAGTCATCATTTATCCTCAATGTCAGAAAAAGCAGAATAGTGTTTTTTTCCAGCAGTGGGTCACACCCCACCAGTTAGCCATGAAATCAATTTAGTGGGTTACAACCAGCATTAATAAAAACATCAAAGCACATCAATTTAGACTTGAATATATATATATATGTATTTGTTTCTTAGTGCTACTGTAACAGTGATCACAAACTAAATGGTTTAGAAATTTATTCTATCACAATTCTGGAGGCCAGAAGTCTGAAATCAACATATGGCTGGTCTTTAAAATCCCTTGAGAAGAATCCTTTCTGGAGATTTCTAGTATCACCAGTGGCTTCTGGTGCTCCTTGGCTTCTATTTGAATAAGCTTTGCTTCTATCTTTACATTACCTCCTTCTCTGTGTCCTTTACTGTCTCTCATAAAGACTGCCACTGGGGGGCTGGGGATTTAGCTCAGCGGCAAAGCGCCTGCCTGGCAAGTGTAAGGTCGTGAGTTCGGTTCCCCGTACCGGAGAAAAACCAAAACCAAAAAAAAAAATAAAAAATAAAAATAAATAAAGACTGCCACTGGATTTAGGAGTCACCTTAACTCAATCTGATCTTATCTTAATCTTTAATTAAATTACATCTACAAAAATCTTATTTCCAAATAAAGTAACATTCCAAATTTCATGGTGGACATGAATTTTGGGGGACACTATTCAAACTACTATCTATATATGTATCTATCTATCATGTAGCTATTATCTATATGATGCCCACTGCATTTTCCACTCTTTTCCATAAAAACTGGTCATTGTTCCTTTTTTGTCCATAATAAAAGCACTAATAAAATTTCTCCAACTAATTTATGTAAAAATCTCATAACACTTTAGGGGGTAGGTTTTAATATCACTGTTTTAAAGATTATCATACAGACAGAAAGTGAAGGAGTATGCATTGAACCAAAGCTTTTCCAGTACCTGTTTCTTTGGAATTTTTGTCTCCCTTGACTTCCATATTATTGCAGTGATATGGATGTCTCTGATCTGGATCCATTTGCTGCTTTCTATTTTCTTCCTCCCATCTCCATCAGCTTTGGCCATGGCCTCCTTCTACCCAGTGCAATTCACTTCCTTGTTTTCTACCGACAGGGATGGAGAAGACTTAATTCTACGTGTGGTCAGAATAGAAGGAGCCAGCAGATAACAAAGATGAAGAGGGTGACTAATGAGATGAGGCTCTGGAGAGATGACCAACAAGAGTGCTCTCTAGGAAAAAGGACAGATGCCTCTTTCTCCAAGACCATTTGCCATTTTAACAAGGCAGATAGTGACAACTGCAGAACCAGGCATTCTTGTCCTTTAGTTGTCTTAGGCTCCCATTTCTCGCTGTGAGCCTTGATGTGAAAGGCCAGCCCTTGCGACATAGGCAAGATTTTCTGTTTTAGGAAGTAGTGCAAAATGTTTGGTTACTTAGTTTAAGAAAGGAACGCAAAAAGACACAGCAAAGCAGAAAGGAAAAACCCAACACCCAGAAGCTTTCCTCTTTGTCACCTCATTAGCTCATATGAGCACTCCCAGAAACAGAGAGAACAGGTCAGAAATCCTGGACAGCTGGATCGCTCAGCCCAGAGGAGCTTTCAACAGCCACAAGAGCTGGACAATTACAAACTGTTATCTTCTCCAGATGATTAATGGGGTTTCCTGAGTGAAATAGGAAGACTTAAACTTCAACAGCTCATTTCTTCAAATCAGGACCTTTAAATAGGATGCATTGTTGCAGGGGCAATAAAACCGTCAGAATGTGGATCTGGCTTTTTTCCATCTTATTAGGCTTGAGGTAATTATCCAGGTAATTCAGGAAAAATAAACTGCCATTGCCTGAATTACTCAGATAATTACCTCCATGTTCCACCCCAGTCCAGAGCCAGCTATAAATGTCTCACGGGTCTCAGTCTGAAAACATAAAACAGGTTTAGTAATTAAGAAGTGAGAGTGAAAGAGCAGAGGTACTCAGCTCAAACAATTTGAGAACATGGGTGTTTTAGATGAAGCTCTGTCATGTACTACCTGCTTACTCCAGGTGAGCTGCTTTATCTACCTGGATGGAATGGCATTTGGAGAATGGCAAACTGTAAATTGCTAGCAACTTCAGTAAAGTTTATTAATTTTTTTTTATTGGTGGTATCAAATGATACAAATTTTTATTCTGGCATAAAGCTGGATAAAAAATTATGCTTCATGCTGAACTGTGAAATTTCAGTTATATGACATAAGCTGCACATTAGACTCATCTGGGGAGTTTAAAAAAAATACAGGATTTTCCAGGTCCCACCCAACCCAATTGAAGTTGAATATCTGGAATTTCACCACCAACATTTGTTATTTTTTAAAAAGTATAAATCCTTGTTAATTTTTTTTTTTTTTTTTTTTTTGGCAGTGGGGGTGATGTTGGAGATTGAACCTGGGGCTTCGTGCATGTGTAATAAATACTCTACCGACTGAGATGCACCCTGTGCCTCTCAGTGGGCTCTTCTATTTTACTGTATATTGTATTTGTTATGATACTGGTGTTTTTATTTTTTTAATTTTTTTTCCAGTACTGGGAATTGAACTCACGACATTGCGCTTGCCAGGCAGGTGCTGTGCCGCTGAGCTAAATCCCCAGCCCCAGATACTGGTGTTTTTAAAATACTCTCTAGATGATTCTGCATGAGAAAGAGAGAGAGAGAGAGAGAGACAGAGACAGAGACAGAGACAGAGACAGAGAGAAAAAGACAGAGAGAAGGAGACCTCACATACAGAGAAAAAAAGAGACTTCTGTCACTGGAGGGTCATATCCAGGGTTTGACAAGTCTCAGAGTGGTAGCTGAAGCTCTCTGGAAACCTGTCTCTCCAGAGTTCTAGGCAGAAGGGGACTTATTTGGCTTGGGTGTTTGTTTCCTTCCAAAATTCATGTTGAAACAATCTCCAGTATAACAAGATTAAGAGGTGAGACCTCTAGGAAGTGACTAGGCCATGAAGGCTGTGACTTACTGATGGAAGTAGCACCCTTACAAAAGGTCTCAAGGAAGTGAATTCAGCATCTTTTTTGCATCTTTCATCCCTTCTGCCATGTGAAATTGCAGCATCTGTCTCTCTGGAAGATGCAGCTAAAAGGCACCATCTTGGAGGCACATTGGGTTCTTACCCGACACCTAACTTGCCAGCATCTTTATCTTGGATTTCCAGTGTCCAGAACTGTGAAAAAAAATGTCTGTTATTTATAAACCATCGAGTCTCAGGTATTTTTACATACCAGCAGAAATGGACTAAGATAGTGTCTGAATACCCCACTCTCTCAGTTTCAGACTTTCCTGATCTGAATGTCAAGGAAGGAGCTTGCTTTACCAGTCTACTGACATCCATCACTCCTGTACAAAAAGGCACGAGGCTCCAGTGGTGACTACTTCCCACACCAAGTTTGTTTGAGTAAGTAAAGGACTTGCCAAAGATGCAACCTCTGCTGTCCTTTACTTCTGGAAGTTTATAGCTGAGAAATGACTAAGCAATCTCTCAACAATCTTGCAGAGATGGGAAGAAAGTATCATTACTACTTCATTTTAATTCCTGAAAAATTTCCTCCCAAGGATTAGGACCAGGCATAATTTCATCATGAGTTCCCAGGTTTTTCTATGGTGAACTGGTACATCATGTCAACATTCCTTAAAAGTCATGAGACAGGAACTACAAAAAGATACTATTTCATCATGGCAGCAAATGTTTCTCAAGTGCAAACCTGCCATCTGTTAGGCAGAACAAGGAACTAGAAAACCCTTCCTTCTGAAGTAATTCAGCTGGATTCTCCAATTTTGAAGCATCTGGTTGGTAACTGTGCTGTCAGCATGAAACTACCTTCTCAGTTTCAAACATCCCAGTGCTGGAGCCTGAGGATAGAATTCCTGTGGTCTAGACACAAACCCCTGCTACTAGGACTTACAGATGGGGCTGTCCTTTAAGTCTGGAGGGTTATAGCTCAGAAATGATCAAGCAATCTCTCAACAGTCTTGCAGGAATGATCAACAGCTTCTCAGAATACAGCGGAACATCTGTTTCCTACATGTAACTACACCAAACAGAGGCTGCCTTCTCTGTGCACATGTTGCTCCTGCAGGAGTCCAGTGGCGTGTAAATTCAAAAGAGCACTTTTGCCCCATGATAAACCTCTCAAGGACTGAAGTGCTTTGACTTACAGTGATTCTTCCAGAGGATTTTTCCCCAGTTGTTTAAATATGGACATCAACAAGTATTTAAAGACAATGCAGGGGCTGGGGATTTAGCTCAGCGGCAAAAGCGCCTGCCTGGCAAGCGCAAGGTCGTGAGTTCAGTTCCCGGTACCGGAGAAAAACCAAAAAAA